CAAAATGCGAAAGTTCAACATTAACGCGAGTTCCCAAAACCGCTCTTATTCGTTGCCTCGTATTAAAGGAACCGCTTGAGCCACGAAAGTCTAGTTTTCACTGCAAGATAAAGAGTTAAATTACGCACTTTTCTATATGAAACTTTCTTGTACAAATGTTTTGAGTTTTCACGCAAAATGCGAAAATTCAACATTAACGCGAGTCTTCAGAACCGCTCTTATTCGTTGCCTCGTATTAAAAGAACCGGTTGAGTTACGAAACTCTAGTTTTCATTGCCAAATAAAGAGTTAAATTACGCACTTTTCTATATGAAACTTTCTTGTACAAATGTTTTTAGTTTTCACGTAAAATGCGAAAATTCAACATTAACGCGAGTTTTCAGAACCGCTCTTATTCGTTGCCTCGTATTAAAGGAATCGGTTGGGTTACGAAACTCTAGTTTTCACTGCGAGATAAAGAATTCATTTGCCCACTTTTCTAAATGAAACTTTCTTGTACAAATATTTTTAGTTTTCACGCAAAATGCAAAAATTCAACATTAACGCGAGTCTTCAGAACCGCTTGAGCCACGAAACTCTAGTTTTCACTGCGAGATGAAGAGTTAAATTGCGCACTTTTCTATATGAAACTTTCTTCTAGAAATGTTCCTAGTTTTCGCGCAAAATGCGAAAATTCAACATTAACGCGAGTCTTCAGAACCGCTTTTTTTCGTCGCCTCGTATTAAAAGAACCGCTTGAGCCACGAAACTCTAGTTTTCACTGCGAGATGAAGAGTTAAATTGCGCACTTTTCTATATGAAACTTTCTTGTAGAAATGTTCCTAGTTTTCACGCAAAATACGAAAATTCTGAACAAAACCATTAAATAAAAACAGAAACAGCAGTTGAAAAAAGATGGCGAATCATATTCCAGGAATTTTACTAAAATTCACAAAGTAAAGTTGAGTTCACAATCGCCCGCAGAGATGGCGCGGCTGATCCTCGACCAGGCGTACAAAATTAGGCGCATCCCCCCCAAAGCGCAGGTGAGTCCTCAAGCCGCTGGCAACCCTGCCACTCATTCAAAAACGGTGCGCAAAACGCGACGGTTTTCCTAAGATTTTCCTAGCATAAGCGCGACAACGCCGCTCTTTCGTTTTATATAACCATTTCCTCAATTTCCTCTTGCATTTAGTTCGGCTTGCGCAGTCGTTTCAGTTTGTTGTTAGTGTGCGGTTAACCTCTCCATCTCAATTCGCGTATACAGCACAACGCTGCTGAACGACCGGCAAAACAGCTGATTTCCAAATTGTTTACATGCAAATAATCCTCGGAAGGACAATCGGACGCGTCCAGGCAACTGGTGTTTTGTTTGATGGGAGGGGCCCCATTTCGACCTTTTGCGCCTGTTGAAGACCGGAACTGACGATTGAATGGGAGTGACTGATGTCAAGTGCAGCACAACAGTGTCCCAAAGTCGCATTTTCCCTATGTGAAGGAACCAGCGGAGGCCGATTTAGTGTTCCGGTTGACCCACTTGCCCATTTCCGGAATGGCTCTGAACTTGGCGATGTCTCCATTGAGAAGGCGGCACTGTTTCCTGGTTTTGGGCTGCGTCCTGTTTGTGCCCTTCTGCTGCTTCATCCTATTCTCCGTGCCAGGCAAGCGTCATTTTTGTTTGTAAACATCCATTGGGAAACAAAGGGAAGTCGGCCCGGAAAAGTGGGCGTTACCGGCTAGGGATTATGAAAATATCAGATTTCCGGCCGATTTGCCCAATTTTCCTGTGGCCAAGATTGGCTGTAAACAATCGCCTGTCATCAGTGACGTTGTCACTTATCCAAAAAAAGGGTACTGCTGACTGCGCCATAATTTCCACTTACTTCTTACGCATGACGTCACCTGGTACCCTCTTGGGACCAGTGGACAGCTGCTCTATATGTGCATTACAAATGCATGTAACCTAGGCAGGTTTCATTGATGTTTAAAACGCATTAGTTCAGGGAAAAAAGGGGTTATTTGACAATATGGCTTTCAGTGTTTTATAGCTGAGTGCCTTATCGCGAAATGTTTTTCTGATTTTCAGGGTGTTAATTAACTGTATTATTGCTGAGTTGCCAGATTGTCGTTCGTTAGATCGGGTACACTAATTGCGAAAAACTGCACGCGACTTTCTCGATTTCGTCTGTGCGTTTCCGCATTCCGTCGTAAATAATAGGAACTTGTGCCAGGAGTGACAACCCATCAGAAGGTACCACATGACGTCGGGCAAATCGGCGCACTATCTTATACGGGGAATGTCCAAATATCCTTTTAAAGGCACACGGTTCGGCCGGGCGGTCATTAATCAATGATGCAATCGCAGGTTAAGGTTGGGTTTTTTCCTTAAGAATGAGAAAACGTTCGTATGCGGGTAACGGTACTTGGCAATTATTTTAATCGCATACGCTGGCTGGGCGATAAAAGTTCAAACAGCATTTTACAACCCATCAATTATAGCGAGTGTGAACGCGACCTTAGCCAACTTGATTTCGAACATGCACAAGCAGGAAGTTGATTGTTTTCTGTTCAAGTCGCTTTTTTGTCGGTCATTGGCTGAGGATTCAGGTGAAAATCGCGCACTTTGGCAAAACTGCTGTGCAATGTTGCCGGGTTTATGAGTTTTCCGAAAATTTGCCAGCGTGTTAATCAGGCCGAGGTTTTTGCGGTTCGGACTGGTATATTTCCATTGTCAAACTCTGCCCGTTTGCGGGTTTGAGGCTGTTCAATGCTTGTTACAAAACCCGTCAAGGAAATTTTTTGGAAAAAAAAGTTTGGAAATTTGGAAATTCTTCCAGTCAGTCTTTGCGCGCAAGTATGGGCACATTTTCTCTTTTTTGTCGCAACATTTCTTTGCTAAGTCTTTTCGCGTTCGGGAGTTTGGAGCAGTTGAAGCGCGTGTTAGACGACAGGCTGATCAAGAGCTGAACCCCAAATGAAAAAAATTCCAAAAATTTCCCCACCGCTTGAAACTCGGCCATTCTTTGCGCATAGCTAAGGACATGTTTGGTCTATTTTCTCACTAAACTCTAAGTCTCAGGCGCTTTCCGTTCGGGGGATGGACCGTGTTGAAGCGCTTGATGCAGTCGATATCCGGGAAGTAAAACACAAAATCAAAAATGCTCCTAGCCAGCTGATCTGATCCATTCTTTGGTCATACCCAGCTTAATAGTTGCTCTAATTTCTCACAAAATTTCAATGCTCAGTCTCTTCGGGCTTGGGAGTTTGAGGCTGTTGAGGCGCACATGGCAAAACCGCGCACCAAGAAGTAAAACCCAGGACTAAAAAAATTCAAAATTTCCCCAGCTGGTTGATCTAAACCACCCTTTGGACATAACTAAGGGCCCATTTGCGCTTAGTCTTTTGGTCGAGGGAAACTCAACCCAATTTTTAACCGGTTCCTCGGGTAAAACTCCTCTGATCAAAACAGTGCAGGCGGGTAATGGCCAAAAATACTGCACATCTAACGGTAAACGGCCGCAAGCATCGACTGCTGAATACGCAGGAATACCCAAGAATACCCAAATATGTTAACCACTGGTTAGATCATTGAATTAATCATCAACGGCCGTTATAATGCAAATACTGGCCGATGGGTTGCAACAGCCCATAACCAACGCACGCACTTAGAATGGGAACTTTGCAAGATCTAATCGAGTTGAACAGTTAGAACAATGGCAAAACTGCCCTCTTATCACTCGCCGAGTCCATTCTAAGCGCTCAGTTCCAGCAGGATGGTTGGGCTCCATTTGGAGAATTCCGTCTTGACCGTGAGCCGCGTTAATTAAAAACGCGCGAATCGTTCGGCTGCGAATTTTTAATTGTTATCTAGCGATAATGAGCGGAAAGTAAGTCATTCGTGCCAAATCAGGTTATAGGTTTGGTCACGGAATTGCACCCACCAGCCAATTGCATTGCGCGTAAAAGTATTACGACACAACTCGGCGTTCCAAGCATATCTCTCTGACCATTGGGCAGTGGCGTGTGCACACAATTTTCCATCCATTTTGATATCCCTGGTTTGGGTCCGCAAGAACTGTACAGATACACATAGATACGGGCAATTATCTGGCTGCTTTCACCTCGATTGTCTGCCATTGATGAATGGACCCATTATTTACAAACAATATGACTCCTTAGGTTCAGCTCCGCATGACCTCTTGGCCTTAATTACCTTCCGGTAAAGTTCACAGAGCAGCCATTGTTCATCGCGAGCGAAGACAATCATTGGCACTATTTGCACCAAAAACCGCTACGTTGTTTTGCTGGGGTACTAGTTTCTCATTGTCCCTCGTATCACACACGCTGCGCTCGGGCCGGGTGGAGGGCGTTCGGCCATTTCCGCCTCTGTGCCCTAGAGCGAGAGCGACGGCACGCTCGGCTCGCGCATAGTCTTTTCTTGTCCCGCCTGCCCTCTTTACCAGGTTGAAAGGGAGTTTTCGCGGCGTAAGCGGACAAATAATTTTTGGAATAAGAAAAATTTACTGCTTTCGGCGCGATTTGAACCCGGTAGGTTCAAATAGGGCGCCGAAAGCAGTAAATTTTTCTTATTCCAAAAATTATTTGTCCGCTTACGCCGCGAAAACTCCCTGTCAGTTTAGAATTATCGGACAACGAAAACTCTTCATTTCTATTTACCGGGGGTGGTTGCAAAGTTCGGAGGTCAAATGATATATTCCAGTCCCAGTTCACAGGACATGTAATGAGCGCTTAGGTGATTCAACCAGATCAGGTGTTTGTTCAGAAACTCCGGTAGCAAAACTCCTTTATTGGCGAAACCAGGACAGCATTGCGACTATATAAGGTCTACTAGATCGGGTAATGGACCGTGAAGGCCGCTTGGAACTTTTAAAGACACACTTACATGCCGTATTGCACTTGAGCATTGAGGTTGATCGGCAATAAGTCGGCTGCAACCGACCGTTGCCACTGTAATTGCCCTAAAATAGACTGATTGACAAAAGGTGGCTCATTTCATTAAAGCAAACAATTATTATTAGATTTGGTTAAGGAAACCTAACAGTATGATCTACGTGTCCAATTAAACTGATTGCTCAATTAATAGACGCTCCACATGTTATTGAAGTGCGAACTGACTGTTTGCCGTGAGCAAATCAACTGGGTCGCAATAATACGCAATCGCTTTTTGCTTTTTGTCTCATATAATATAATTATTGTATTAATGTTAGTCGCAGTTGCGTTGATTTAATGCATTCGTTCCGGGGCAGTGCGGCGAAATGCAGTCGGGCTGCACTCACGATATGCAACACAAATAGCAAACAGTACTGAGGTTGAAACTAATGAGTTTTTCGGGTTTTTAGGCCGTCGTTCGGTAGAATTTCTCTTGACGTTTCGCAAGCACGAGTGGCTTGCATCTTCAGAAGTGGTTTGCTTGAACGCTTACACTGTTCTCATCAGAACCCGCGTCAGAGCCACGAAACTCTAGTTTTCACTGCGAGATAAAGAGTTAAATTGCGCACTTTTCTATATAAAACTTTCTTGTAGAACATTTTTTAGTTTTCACGCAAAATGCGAAAGTTCAACATTAACGCGAGTCTTCAGAACCGCTCTTATTCGTTGCCTCGTATTAAAAGAACCGGTTGAGCCGCGAAACTCTAGTTTTCACTGCGAGATAAAGAGTTAAATTGCGCACTTTTCTATATGAAACTTTCTTGTAGAAATGTTCCTAGTTTTCACGCAAAATGCGAAAATTCAACATTAACGCGAGTGTTCAGAACCGCTCTTATTCGTTGCCTCGTATTAAAGGAACCGGTTGAGTTACGAAACTCTAGTTTTCACTGCGAGATAAAGAATTAATTTGCCCACTTTTCTATATGAAACTTTCTTGAAGAAATGTTTCTAGTTTTCAGGCAAAATGCGAAAATTCAACCTTAACGCGAGTCTTCAGAACCGCTCTTATTCGTTGCCTCGTATTAAAAGAACCGATTGAGCTACGAAACTCTTGTTTTCATTGCTAGATAAAGAGTTAAGTTTCGCACTTTTCTATAAGAAACTTTCTTAGAAATAGAAATAGAAATGTTTTTAGTTTTCACACAAAAGAAATTCCACCGAACGACGATCTAAAAACCCGAAAAACCCATTAGTTTCAAGGAATGGCCTCGAAAGTCTATTTCTTTTGATAGTACTGAGGTTGTTTTGCATCACGCTCACTAACATAGTTTACAGTTTACTTTTGCCCGCACGTTTCGCCAACCGCTTATTCATTTAACGTCTCTAATGGCCCTGGTAAATCGGCCCGGTGCGACAAGGACGGGCGATTGGCGAGCCGAACGCCCGGTGGCTCTCGCTCGTGTGCACTTGGGCGGAATTACCCGAAGCTCCTGGACTCACCCCGAACGATGCCGTGGGTGCTGTGCAGCGTTACGGGGGAGCCTTTGAAAGTATGCATGTGTTGAATTCAACTGGGTTGTTTCAGACGTTTCGTCCGAACAGCTGCTCATCCAGCGCATCGCCGAGCTGCAAGTGAAGCTGCAGTACCTGGACTCGATGTACCGCACGCGGCAGGAGGACCTGCGCCGATTGACCGAGCACATTGACTTGCTGGCGCTGCCGCCCAACGCGTCCGCCCTGCTGGCCGCCCCCGTTCCCGAGCTGCGCCCCGAAGTGAAGCAGCTGCTGAAGAACATGTCGGGCATGGCGGCCGCCCAGGGCGTCCATCCGCCCTTCTCGCTTCGCATGCCCAGCTCCTATCACTTCCTGCCGCATCTGCTGGACGACGTTTCGAGCTTAAGGTTGGTGGGGGATGTTAAGTAGCAGCAGTTGCAGTTGCTTGGTTCCCCAGATTGGCCTATCTGTTGTCCAAAGGACGACTGGGTGTTTCGGTGGTGCTGGGGGTTCCCACGGTGAAACGCGAGAAGCAAAGCTACCTGATGGACACCCTGAACAACCTGATAGAGGGCATGACCGTCGAGGAGGCCAACGACTCCCTGATTGTTGTGTTTATAGCCGAAGTAAGCGCCGGAGGAGGAAATGTTAACCAGCAGAGGGGAGTAATCGGGTTGGGTTTCCAGACTGATATGGAGTACGTGCTTCAGGTGGCCAAGGAAATCGAGTTTAGGTTTGCTGCCTATATCGAGTCGGGGCTAATAGAGGTGCTGGCGCCCTCTGCCGGCTACTACCCGGACTTCGGCAAGCTGCGCATCACCTTGGGGGACTCCCCCGAGCGGGTTAGGTGGCGCTCCAAGCAGAACCTGGACTTCGCCTACTTGATGTCCTATTCGCAGTCAAAGGGCACGTTTTACGTGCAACTGGAAGACGACATTCTGGCGAAACCCCAGTATATCAGCGAGATGAAGAAGTTCGCCATCGACAAGACATCGAAGAAGGAGGCGTGGTTCGTGCTGGATTTCTGCCAGCTGGGCTTCATTGGTGAGGAATTACTCGTTTTAAGGCCGAGCTTCTCCGTGCGCTCGGGAATTTTTCATTTGCCGGTGTTTCAGGGAAAATGTTCAAAAGCGCCGAACTGCCCTGGCTGATCACATTCTTCCAAATGTTCTACAACGATAAGCCGGTCGATTGGCTGCTGGACCATCTGCTCTACACCAAAGTGTGCAACTACGAGAAGAACAACGTACGTAAACCAATTTTCCGAAGCTTCAAGGTTGCATTCGGCATTTAGCACTCGCTGCCGTTTAAGTGGCTTGGTCAACACCACAATTCCACTTGTTGCCCGAGAAAAATAATTTTAATGACTTGTTACCGACCTGTTAATTGCTTGTTAAGCCGTGCTTGTTCAATGAGTCCAACAAATTTCCGGAATTCTTTTCGGCATGTACATGAGCAATTTGTGGGTAAAGTCCCACTCGCTCTACCTAAAACGTTCTGTGGATTATTTAATACCACACTGTTTCCATTGCAGGATATTTGCAAGAGAGAAAAGGCGCGAAAATGGATCCACTACAAGCCCTCTCTGTTCCAGCACATCGGCACGCACTCCTCTCTCAAGGGCAAAGTGCAAAAACTGAAGGTAGTCCACAGTCGCCCTCCTTGTTTGACTCGCACTCACGCGCTCTCTCGCTCTCCCTTGCACAGGATAAGCAGTTTGGCAAAGTGGCGCTGTTTTTCCCCCACGCCAATCCAGAGGCGGAGATCACGTCCGACATCAAGCACTACAAGCAGTACACCCTGAGGAGGGCCTACTTGGGCGAGACTTTCTACTGGGGGCTGCTGCCGCAGCCGGGCGATCACTTGATTTTCAAGTTCGCCACCCCGATTCCCATCAGAAGGTACTGCAAAAACTCAAAGCGGTCGCACAGTTGACGGTTTATTTCCTGGTGTGTGCAGCTATCTGTTCAAGAGTGGCAACGCCGAGCATCCCTCGGATAAGTTCTACAACACCACGGTGGAAGTGTTGCCAGTGGCGGCGCCCAGGTGGCTTTCGCCCCCCTCGTCGAATCTTACCAGTGACGGGTTTGTTATAGTGGGTAAGTCACCATGTATAATGCATAGACGACCCGGAAAATTTCAATCAAGAGGATAATTTTGGTTTTCTCCGATACTTCCGCGGCTTGCAATGACTGTCGTCGCGCTCGTTGAACAAGCAATAGAAAAAGAGCGAGAACTGTTGCGCCTCTGCTTGGGGCCGAGCATGTATGGTTGCCTGCTGTGGGTTCATCGAACACAGGGACTATAGATTGTGGTATAGGCAGTGTCAGCTGGTTGACTCAGTTGTTGAATTGCTCATTATTTCAGAAATTTCTGATAATTCTTTCTTCGACAACGGTAGTCCTTGAGAAGCCTTGGGGGTCATGACCCGAATAACCCCCCCGAATACTCGAATATTCGTTAGATATTCGAGTATTCGAATAATTTTACTATTCGAATAAACCACTAAACGAATATTCGAATATCAGATTTTTAAAAATTCCGAGCCCTACTTTGAACGGTTGGGGGCTGCGGACGTTTTGCTACTTCAGGCGCCTGAAAGGGGGCGAAGCCCTGCTCGATTTCAAATTGGTTTATTACAAAATACACTTCTACAATCGCCCCAGACGTTGAATGCGATATTGGGGCGGCGCAGAGTAAATTGCGCCCATGGGATTCACTTTGCGACCGACTGCGCTTCATATACGGGGTATGGTCAACTAGTAGTAGTCGACTTTTTTGAAGCACGGGAAAAAGAAGAGCACGCCGAAGACGATCTCAGTGGCGGTGAGCATGATCGTGAGACAGCAGAGCACTTTTTCCAACTTCAGTAGCGGGTTTTGGAACCCGAACGCGTACACCACTGTGGCTACGGTCAGGAACGTCATCAGTAGCACAAAGGCCGTGACCAGCTCTGAAAAGCCTCAAAGTGAGTAAGAAAAGGGGGAAATTTGCTCGATATGTCGGCTGCTTACTTCGTCGCTGCTCCTTCCATCGGTAGAACACCAGGATTTTGAGGATTTCCCCGATCAGTCGGGCAAAGCAAACGGCGCCATCCTGTTCGATGTTGGGGGTGTCTCGGATACTTTGGTACTTTGCGATCACCATGATGAATTCGGCCGATGCGAATACCGGGTAGTAAAACGCATTGATGTAGATCAGACATTCGAACATCAGCTCCGGGTCCACCTTCATGTTTAAGGAGCTGCAACGGGCAACAGTTCTCAAGCCCAAGCGCACGCCACTGGCTACGATTGTTTATTAACGCATTAAATCCGAATTGCCACCGTTTTTATGGCTCTATAAAACACTCGGTTCGAGCAGTTTTGGCTCTGAGTGAGTGTTTGTTGAACATTCTCGAATGATAAACATCGAGCGCTGTTTTGATCTATCAGAACTCCTAAACTATTAACTGTTGGAATAATTACCCAGAGAGAAAGCGCCGGTTTGAGCACGAGCATCACTTGCAAGCCGTATATAATGGAACTTGCATGTTTAGTGTCGATTTTTGGTGACACCGTGTCCTCTCTCACAGCCACTTAAAATTGCCCACATTATTTTTAGAAAGTCACACAACACTATTGTCGATTTGGCAGGGCCACCGGTGTGTATATCGGTTCAAATTTACGAGGCTTATTTCCAATTAAATTAATATACGGTGTGGTACACGGCGAGCCAAACGTGGGATTTGCCAAAAGTTCACTGCACTGTTCGAAAGGCGATTGGTTTTTCCCCGAAACGGTGCTCTTGCTCTAAAGCCCTAAAGTCGGCCGTTTTAGAGTAAAACGGCGTTTTATCACGGGAAACATGCGGCTGAAGTTTGCCTTCATGCTGCAATTTTTCCCTAGAACGGCCGACTTTCGGAGTTTGGGCTAAAATCGCTTTTTTGTGCAGGAAACAACGGGCTTTCCACTCTTGGACGCACGAGTTTCTCAAATTCTGAAGTACGCCACTGATTCGTAAAAAATGTGTTCAAAATTCTCCAATAGTTCCAAAAGCGCGAATTTTTCGTTAATTGCACTTTCCCCTTTAAAAATTTGAGTTTCAAAACTAATAGAAATAAACGTTGGAAAGTTTTCTCATCTTTAGAAGAAACTTTTTTTGATTTATTTTCCTGACTGCGTGTAGCTGTTATTATATTATTCCTTCCCTGGGCTTCAATCACAGTGTGAAACAACATTTTTTTTGTATATCGTTTATTTCGTTACGTTTCGGCGAGACAACAGCGCCATCATCTCATTTAAAATTCATACAAACTCATAATTGCTACGCAGGCAAATGCAGACAATAATTCGAACAAATTTGAGGTTTCAAGACAGCAAAGACCTAAAATAATCTAATATTTCCCAATTATGAGTTTGTATGAATTTTAAATGAGATGATGGCGCTGTTGTCTCGCCGAAACGTAATGAAATAAACGATATAAAAGTTTTTATTTGTAAAACAAGGTAACAAATTTGAGGTTTCAAGACAGCAAAGACCTAAAAGAATCTAATATTTCCCAATTATGAGTTTGTATGGATTTTTAATCTGATGATGACGCTGTTGTCTCGCCGAAACGTAACGAAATAAATATAATAATAATTTAGATGAAACTTGAGCCTAAAAATGGGGAAAGTTTGAGAACAATCGTCCGAAATCCTTTCGGCTTCACCTTCCATTCAATCCACTTCATTTCAGGCGCTTCACTTGAAAGCGACTCAAACTCCTGAAACTGAATATGTAGTCGAAAATTCACTAGAAAAACCGTATTTTTCACTCCTTATACAGTTTTTACTCATTCTTTAAGTGTGCAACCCGCTGGAAAAGTTGCGTCACTTACAATTGGCTCACCCGGTGGATTCAATGTGTTCAGTGGTCAGGAAGTTCTAAAGTAAAAACACTTTATTCCCACTGTTATGGTAAACCACCCGAATTGTTCTCAACTATCAAGCCCTAATAAAAACTTTATCTGGCTAGAGATAAGATTGATCGATTAATCTTAATACAGAGTGGCCCAAAGGGCGAAAACTTGCCCTTTTTATTGGAAACTGCAATCAGCAACAAGCGCATACAGTTTTAACACCGAATTTTTGTACCAAAATTAGGCGTTTCTGGGCTCGATTTTTTTAAATTTAAATCGACGAGTTTGTCGAATTTTGGCGCCGTCCTGATGCCACTTGGACCATGTTCATAAAGTCATCCCCTTTTGCCCAATTACCCGGTCTTAGACAAGGAAAGATACACTCTCATGTGTGCGGGAAAGAGCCACTGTATAGTCGCGACAACGGATGCACCGTTGCCGCTATCGTTGTTTATGAACACACTCCTGGAACGGTTGAAACGTCACCGTGTCAACCCCTCCTACATCCTGCCGAATTGACTCGGTTGCTATAGCAACCGGGAACACTCACTGTATAATTTATTGCTAATTCAGAACCCGCGTTGATTCGGTCAATTTTAACTAAGTTGCGAGTGTTTTGCAGGTAAATTCGACAGTGCCGGAATAGCCAGAGGGTCGGTGGATGACGCCTTGGGCAGGATCCAGGCGTTGCGGTTAAATGTGCACTCTGACAGCGAAAATTGGGCGATTCTAAGCGAGGTAGGGGTTAAACGAGCCGAAGATGCGGCCGCTAACAGTTTTGGTTTGCAGATTCACATCCAGGACGAAGTGGAGCCCAGATAACGCACAGCCATGCGTTCGAACGTCCTGTCGATTTTCCGCTCTTTTCATCCGGGTGATCGCAGTGCCGCGCCCAACAAACATTTGCTCAGTCTGTGATAGTTGAAAACCCCCGTAGTTTATCGTTAGATGTAAGCGCTCCTCCTCTGACTGCACTCCATTCCTCTGTCAACGTCTCCCTCAAGGTGAGTGATTTTCCTATGGTGGCGACCTCTTTGGCAGCTGTTCAGGTTCCGGCTGCGGGCGATTCCTGCGTTATCAACATATCAAAAGTTGAGCCCACCCACTATGGGCATGTTTCCGGTAGACGCCGCTCAAATATCAGTTGCTTATCATACCCAGGGACCATGAACTGATTTGTGGGGTTTCTCTTAAAAAAGATACAAAACTGCCCAAAACATGGCGCTGTTGGATTTGAGAGAAAATGTATTTTTGTATTGGTTCGCAAAACAGACTGACTGAGTAACGCTAAACAGGAATTGGTCAAGGAATTCGTATTATCCCGTAATTTACTGTGTCTTAGGCGTAGAATACTCAGAATATCGAATATTTTCAGTGCCAATGTTGCGTATGCGCATCTGGACTGTCGGAGAGTGAGCGGGACAGCAGCGCATTGCGCGGAAAAGGGCAGGGCTTCTGGAGGCGTGGCCTCTTAATACGGCGTCTCTTTCCAGCACACGCTGTTGTTTCGCTCGCCTTGCAAACTGCCCAACGGCTGTATGTGTTGTTGTCTAGTCAAGTTAAGGAAAAAACAAAAAAATCGGTGTCAACAACGCCCAATCGTCGCTTCCTAGATTAACCCATGTAACTAATCAAATCAAACTATATCGGTGTGCTGACAATATGTCTAATATTTAGAATACATGTCGTGTGCAGTAAGTGACGTAATTGGCAAAACGCGCCTCTTTTGTTCAACTTTGCCTCACCTGCAGGATGTGGGATGAGTCGATGTTGGTCGACACCGCGCCCTGTATAGTGTTTAGTTTGCTTGGAAAATGTACAGGGTACATTCGTAATTGGATAAGACAAATCTATTTTCCTAAACCATTTGTTGATCTGTGTGTGAATCTCATTTTTCAGCCTGTATATTGCGGTCAATTATTATTAATATTATTGAGTTGATTTTCTGATGTTGTTAAGTTTGTGTATTTTCGGCAACCAATTTATCCACAACTAATATTGTCTTTCAATAAATATTACCATTTTTATTCAATGTTTTATTGCGCCATGAAGACTCGCAGGCCGACACTGATTCCAGTGAATTAACTAACGCTGATTCTTCTGTTCAGGAACGTAGCTGGGATTTTTTTCGCACTCATGGTGATCCAGTTCTTCACGGATTGAAATATTTGTCGCCGATTTTTAATTACTTTGTTTTGCAGGCAGTTTAAAGGTATAGCTATCAGAAGTAGTGCGTTTTACTTGAAGTTTGCGCTTAAATGCCGCGGAAATTGTTAAATAAAATATCGTTTTCGAGTTTTTAGGTCGGCGTCCATAGGAATTTGGTCCTGACGTTTCGCTATCCCGCGTGGGCGGCACCTTCAGAGGTAGGTTTAAGAAAGTTGAACCAATTAAAATTTTCTTTTACTCGATGTTCTAAAACCAGTTTTTTGCATCTTCTTTCATCTCTTTCTTGGGTTCTTGCAGTTTTGTCAATTGCGGTTTGATTTTCCAAAGAGTTTCTTGTTCTTTAAACAGTTCAAAAATGTTATTTATTTATTGTTTTATATTATATTCTTTTCCTTCTTGGGTTTCAGTCAAAGTGTGAAATACAAATTTGTATATCGTTTCGGCGAGACAACAGCGCCATCATCAGATTTAAAATTTACACAAACGCATGATTGGTAAAAATCAACGTTCTTTTAGGTCTTTGCCTTCTTGAAACCTTAAATTTGTCTGTCGAGAGACAAATTGTCTGTCGAGAGACAAATTTACGGTTTCAAGAAGGCAAAGACCTAAAAGAACGTTGATTTTTACCAATCATGCGTTTGTGTAAATTTTAAATCTGATGATGGCGCTGTTGTCTCGCCGAAACGATATACAAATGTTATAACAATTACACGCAGTGAGGAAAATAAGCCAAAATATGTGATTCAGTTCCGACATCGTATAACAAAATCGCCAGTGAGACCAGATGGTTGAATAATAATTCCAATGAATTTTGCAGGACTGCAGCAGACGATTCACTTCCTGCGATTTAACCGCAAAAGTGTCAAGGGTTTTATGCATTCGTCCGCAACCCAATCAGAAGTGGGCTCATATAAGACGCAAACGTCGCCGATCAAGAGAGTCTTTGCTGACAAGTGCCGGCGCCAACCAGCGACTGTGATCGAAGCAAAAGACGAGACGGACTTTTTCAAAGTGAGTTAAGCCATTGTTTAAGCGTTTGTAAACCATTTTATTCCTTAATAAGGAAAACAAATAGGAAATTCCAGACAGTGAGAGTTTAGGAACAAGTTCTGCACGGTTGGGACTTTATTTGAACCCGTTTTTTGCAAAAACCGCGTACGATTGGAGATGTTCTGCGTGCCAGTGGCGCCTTCATCTACCTTATTTTGGAACATTGCCCATCTTAACGCTTCGGGGCTTAGGGTGGTGCCAAAAAATATCCTCACGCGCGTAAATATTGCCGATTACTCAATCTAATGCACTCGATTCTTCCCATGCAGATTGCAACTTTCACCGTTAGGTAATAGGTGCAATTTCCTTTACGGAAAAATCAGCCGCTCACGCCTGCTTTCACTATCTAGAACTGACTCCAATTGCAACTGGTTGTATCAGATTACCATAAGAGATTTTTCACTAAAATCAGTGTGAAGCGGGGCTTGTGCCCTTAAAATCGGCCATAATTGAATAACGGAGAGGATAAATGCGCATAAGTTATTTCATTTGCGCCAGTCCGGCCCAGTAAAAATCGCAGAAATTTGTTTTCTGCGTGTTTGTGAGAGCGACAACAACATGACCAGCTAACAACACCGTCGCATATATTCGTCTCAGTCTAAGTGGGCCCAGGGGCCAAAGCGAGAGAGAGATGCACATCAGCTAGGCTTTGCCTGACCTACTCGGCGCTGAGACAGGGGGGTATCAGGAATAAATAATTTTTTAGTTCTATTTCAGATATGATATGGATAGCTGTGTCACTGGTTGCGACCATCCTGAGCCTGTGGGCATTCCTGGATACACGGAAGCCGAAAAAATTCCCGCCAGGTCCTGCATGGTATCCCGTAGTAGGGAGCGCCCATCAGCTGCTGAGAGCGCGCACCCAGCTGGGGTCGCTCTATGAAGCCACCGCAGCCCTGAGTAAGCGCTATGGGCCAGTGATGGGTTTCAAGGCAGGTGTTAGAACGATAAAAGTCCAGGTTTTCCTCAAATCCTGCTTCCAGGTGGGCAAGGACCCGATTGTAGTGGTGTACGGCCCGCAGGAGACCAAGGAGATGGAACTATCCGAGGATTTGATTGGCCGCCCCATAGACCCCTACTTCAAGTTGCGCACCTGGAACAAGCGCAGAGGTGACAGCGTGGATCAGGGGCGGACGGTTGTAGAACTGGGGGTTGTTTTAGGTGTTCTGTTGACCGACAACAAGTTCTGGCAGGAGCAGAAGCGGTTTCTGTTGCGCCACCTGAAAGAGTTTGGGTTCGGCACTAAGAACATGTCGGTGCTGATCGAACAGGAAGTTGGGCATCTGCTGGAATTCATCGAGAAGTCCATCGACGAGAATCAAGGTGCTTTTCTCCAGTTGCCAAGTTTTAGGTGTTTTGAGCGTGCGTTTTCTTAGGCTCAGTGGTATTCAAAATGGAGTCCATGTTCAGTATGAGCGTCCTGAACACGGTCTGGTGCATGTTAGCAGGAGTGCGCTATTCTCAAGAGGATCAGAAGATGAAGTCGCTGCAGAGCATCATGTTCAGAATGTTCAAAACCATCCACATGGTAGGCGCTGCTTTTAGGTGGGTGATCTTGGATGGATCTCTGTGGGGGCGCTTATTTCTGTTGGTTTTCAGCCATTTTCCGATTCTCAAGTACTTGGCTCCGCAGCTGTCCGGCTACAAGTGCTACATGGAGACGCACCAGCAGATCTGGGACTTTCTGCGCGATGAATTGGACGCTCATAAGAAGACGCACGTCCCGCATCATCCCAGGGATTTAATGGACGTGTATCTGGACGTGCTGCGCTCTCCTGATCACAGTCAGTAGCTCTAAAACAATTCGGGCAGGGGGAAATGCAATGGAAGTTTGCAGGCGAGTCCTTTTCTGAGGAACAGCTGCTGGCCATTTCCATGGACATGTTTATGGCCGGGTCGGAAACCACCAGCAACACCATCAGTTTCACTTTTCTCTACTTGATGCTCAATGAGCGGGTGCAGAAAATGGCTCAGAAGGAGATTGACGCGGTTTTAGCGGGCAGACCGCCCAGTCTACAGGATAGGACTAAGTGAGAGCTCAAAAGTGTTATTGTTTCCTTTAAATGCAACGATTTGCTTCAGTATGCCTTACATGGAAGCCATTGTGTTGGAAGGGCTGCGCATGTTTGGGGGGCGAGCCTTCACCGTGCCCCATCGGGCCCTAAGAGACACCAACCTAGGAGGCTACATCATTCCAAAGGTCAGTTTCTTTGGCCTGGTTGCCAGTTTTTGCGGAAAATCCCCAGGTTTTGTGTTCCAGGACGTTCTTGTAGTTGCCAATCTTCACGGTTCCATGATGGGGCCCGACTCCGGCTTTGAGAATCCCGATGAATTCATCCCTGAGCGCTATCTGAAAAATGGGAAAGTCGTCCAGGTGGAGAACCACTTGCCCTTCGGGCTGGGGAAAAGGAGGTAAAATTGTGCCTTGTACGACAAGGGTGGTGCTGAAAATGGGTTGTTTCAGGTGCATGGGAGAGTCGATGGCGCGCGCCAATATTTTCCTTTTCACTGCCGGCCTCCTGCAAAGGTACGACGTCGGTTTGGTGCCTGACAGTCCGCCGGATATGAAGACGGTGGAGGGCGTCACTCCGTCAGTCCATTACAAGTCGAGAATAACTCGCAGGAGCGCACCACAGTAAAATATCTCCTAGATCGTGTTTTGTTTAGCATTTTTGCGGTAAATGCTAAAAACATTAATTTTTTTAATTGTTTCTGTCTCGACCTACATCGACAAGAAAATAACGTCACGCTAAACCCCTGCTCCTGCTGCCTCTAATTGTATTTGCATCGACAAAAAATAACGTAAAAGTAGTTTTTTCACAAACTGTTTGTTGGGAATTTCGCCTCAAAAATTTTTGTCTTTAAAAAAGACAGAATTTGATCACGTCTTTTATTACGGCGTAAGCGTAATAGAGAGTATCTGCATCGACAAAAAATAACGTAAAAGTAATTTTTTCACAAACTGTTTGTTGGGAATTTCGCCTCAAAAATTTTTGTCTTTAAAAAAGACAGAATTTCCTCACGTCTTTTATTACGGCGTAAGCGTAATAAAAGTTTTGTGAAAAAATTACTTTTACGTTATTTTTTACCGCGTAAGCGTAATAAAAGAAGGTAAATGCTAAAAACATTAATTTTTTTAATTGTTTCTGTCTCGACCTACATCGACAASAAAATAACGTCACGCTAAACCCCTGCTCCTGCTGCCTCTAATTGTATTTGCATCGACAAAAAATAACGTAAAAGTAGTTTTTTCACAAACTGTTTGTTGGGAATTTCGCCTCAAAAATTTTTGTCTTTAAAAAAGACAGAATTTGATCACGTCTTTTATTACGGCGTAAGCGTAATAGAGAGTATCTGCATCGACAAAAAATAACGTAAAAGTAATTTTTTCACAAACTGTTTGTTGGGAATTTCGCCTCAAAAATTTTTGTCTTTAAAAAAGACAGAATTTCCTCACGCCTTTTATTACGGCGTAAGCGTAATAAAAGACGTGAGGAAATTTTGTCTTTTTTAAAGACAAAAATTTTTGAGGCGAAATTCCCAACAAACAGTTTGTGAAAAAATTACTTTTACGTTATTTTTTACCGCGTAAGCGTAATAAAAGACGTGTTGAAATTCTGTCTTTTTTAAAGACAAAAATTGTTGAAGCAAAACACCCAACAAACAGTTTGTGAAAAAAATTACTTTTACGTTATTTTTGGTCGATGCAGATACTCTCTATTGGCGTAATTTCGCGCTATATGCCTATGTTGGTGAGGCAATCCGCCTCAACAATATAGAACTTAAAGTAAGTCATTTGCATCATGGATGTTAATTAGAAGAAAAAACTGCATTTAACCTAACGGATAACGTATATTTTTGCAAACAACTGCTCGTATCTAAGCCGGATGATCTAAGCCTTAAGAGCTTGGCAGACAGTCCTCCACCTTCTGGATGTCATCGCAGGTGGAAATCGGGCCAACTGCCTTAAAGCATTCAACTACGGGCTCCATCATTTTGTCCGGAAGCGACCCCTAAAACAAAAATGAATTAACCGCAGATCTGCAGGATTCATCAACCAACCAACCTTAGCTTGGTCGATTTCTAGATGGCCGTCCTTTAGAAACCCGACCTTTTCCATGGCACACTTAAGGAAGCACAGCATGCTATGGTTTAAGGCGCGTTTCTCCCTGGCGTCTTCAAACTCCTTACGATCAACTCCAGTGTCTTTGCCGCACATTTCCACGTCGGCCGGCGCAATGCGAGCGAACAAGTCATCCGAGTTTCCAGCCGCAACGAGCTAAATGTGCAAAAACAAACGGCACCAATCGAACACAAACGTTAAAACCAATAATTACCTGGGCCACGCCTAGAATGCACAAAAATACGGAAACTCCCCCTTGGAAAGTCATACTTAAGCAGTCTCTCTAGCGAATCTCGCCGCTATTTGCAGATGATATGTGCCTGTAGGCAACTGGCACACTATTTATATGCCGGCGGGCAATTGATTCCCGAATCACACTTCCGCACATGATGGCACCCGATGGCCGCCAAAAGCACAAAAGAGTGCGACAAATTGTACGACTTAATTTGGCGCAAATTGCGAAATTGTTGCTAATGGCGCGCAAACACCAAACGGAACAATCGAAATCGGTTGTTTTCAAAGTCAACGTCATTTTCGCCGGGAAATACGCAAAAAATGGTCACAGTCTGTGGGAGAAAGTTTGCCAACACCAGGGAAAAGCTGCTGCTAGCTGCCAAAGAGAACAAACCTCCCCTTGGGGCAGCGGAGAGTCTCTTTTCCAAAACAAAGGGGCAAAATGCGCCGACTGAGGCCGGAGCGTCCTCGGGCACCTTCATTCCCAATTCCACATTCAAAAGCCTTAAGAACTCGGCAAAAGAGCAAAAATCAGCAATAGCAACCGTTGGGCAAAGCGCTCCAATCAAGGTATATGTAGATAAGTTCTATATTGTTGAGGCGGATTCATTTTTTACTACTTTTTCTTTACTTTTTGATAAATAATTCGTTCTTATTGCGGAATAGGAGCACTATTTATCATTTATCTGTAATAAAAGACGTGAGAAAATTCTATCTTTTTTAAAGACAAAAATTTTTGAGGCGAAATACCCAACAAGAAGTTTGTAAAAAAAGGTATATGTAGTTTGAAACGTTCAAAAAATAGCACGTAAGTTCTGGGCACTTTTCAGCGTTCTTCCATCCTTTCGGGCACCGAAACCTTGGAGGAACTGAAGCAAATGCGCGATTTGCTGCGCAAAACCTCCTATGTACCCAAGCAGGTAGTTGCAACTAACTCAAACCAGCCTCAACCGGTGAAACCCCTAAAATTTAGCCCCCTAGCAGACGCCCGACTATTGAGAAAATCAAAAGCGCAATCGAGCAGGAAAAGCGCGTCCTCATGGACGAGCGGGAGGCTCTGGAGATCGTCAAAGAAGAGCTGCAACTGGTCGACACGTCCACTTCCACCACCACAGCAGTCAAAGTGAAGAGATCCAAGAAAAAGAAGACAAGCAAACGCGAAAGCCCCAACAAGAGGAAGATGGGCGGCAAAGTGAAGATGAAGTTGGGCAAAGTCGACGTGGAAATTCAATGCTCCATCGGCAAAGCCGCCTAGATTTAATTGCGCCCAATGAAAACATTTGCTATTCCCTTGACAAACCGCGTTAATATATTCCCTTTTTCACCCAAATGCGATATGGATTTTTAAACACTCCAACAAAGTGAATACCTGATTGCAACACTTGGATATAAAAGCGGCGATTTCCATCGGAACCCTCTGAAAGTGGGCAACATGATCAAACAGCCATCGTATGAGGTGTATGCCACTGACTTTTTCTCGGTGAACCGATGGATTTTGAAGTGTGCGGGGCTCTGGCCGCCCAGCACCCCCAACAGAGTCGTTCGGCGCTTGTACCAGCTCTACACCATTGGCGTGTTTCTCTTCGTGAACCTCTGGTTCACTGGTACCGAGTTCGTGTCGCTTTTTTACACCTACAAGAGCCAGTACGAGCTGATCAAGAACGTCAATTTCTTCCTCACTCATTTCATGGGCGCCGTCAAGGTGATTCTTTGGTACTTCTACGGCCATCTGCTCAGGGACATCATGAACGCGTTGGAGAGTCCTCAGCTGCACTATGAGGGTTATGCGGTGAGTGATGTGAAAACTCCCAAATTTTCATGGTGCAGACGGTCTGCGCCCGGATTCGTTCTGGACGAAGTGGTCTTCGGCCAACTTCGCGCCCAGTTCGGGGGCAGTTTCCGCGAAAATCCACCAGGTTGGCCGATGGGAGCGAACAATATGCACCGCGGAACTTAATTCCCGACTCACTCCTGTTGCAGGATTTTAGCCCCCATCGGATTTCGCACCTTCATAGGGCCATCGGGCGCAGATATTCGCTGCTGTTCCTTTGCTTGGCCCACGCCACTCTCATCTCCTCGTACATCCCGCCCCTGATCGCCGTGGCCGAGTATTTGAACCAACCGCAGGGCGGCCTGCAGAAGCTCCCCAGCCGACTGCCCTACTTCTGCTGGATGCCCTTCTCCTATGACACGCCAGGCAAATATTTGCTGGCCGTGGCTTATCAGGCAGGTAACTGCCTGCAGGTGGACTGCGGTAGGGCAGGTGAAACGTTGTTCGTTTTCAGGGCCAATGTTCTCCTATGCGTACAGCGTGGTGGGCATGGACGCGCTTTTTATGAACATCCTAAACTGCATAGCAGAGAACATGGTACTGATCCAGGGGGCCTTTAAAACCGTGCGCGAAAGAAGCACCCTACACTACTGTGTGGGGGCACTGGCGCCCCCTTGCCACGCAATTCGCGAGCACCCACTGGTGCTGAGACAAATGGATTTGGAGACGAAAAAGATCATCAAACACCTGCAAATCACTCTAAGGTACCCAACCAGACCGGTGGGTGGAGGTAGTAACACTCGAGTTTTAGAGCCTGCAAGCACCTGGAGGGAATTTACCACATAATAACCCTCAGTCAAGTGACTGCCACCTTGTTCATCCTGTGCACCAGCCTCTACTTGATTTCCACTGTAAGCATTGGTTGACTTAACTAAGCACTATTCCGATTTGTTTTCCTGACGGCGTGTACTTGTTCTTATATTCTTATCTCTCCTGCGGTACAGTCAAAATGTGAAATATTTCTTTTTGTGTAGTTTATTTCACAGAATGTTTCGGCGAGACAACAGCGCCATCATCAGATTTAAAATCCATACAAACTCATAATTGGGAAATATTAGATTCTTTTAGGTCTTTGCTGTCTTGAAACGTCAAATTTGTTCGAATTATTGTCTACATTTGCTACGCAGGCAAATGCAGACAATAATTCGAACAAATTTGAGGTTTCAAGACAGCAAAGACCTAAAAGAATCTAATATTTCCCAATTAT